GGGTACCTGGGCAGACAAGCTCGTCAGATGGGTTTGTGAGCGGGATTCCACGTACCTCGCAAGACGTCCCGAAGAAACGCAAAGCTAAGGGAAGATCGTGCCAGGTTCGAAGCAAAAAGCTCTATTTCCCGTTTCGCTGTTCCTGCAACCTTTCACAAGCACCGTGCAAGCGACAAAAGGCTCATTGACCAGCTGGTGTGCAGGTTCAGTTCGTTGAAGCGAACTATCCAGCAATACTCACGTGTGCAACAACAAACAACAGCCGCCGACTACAAGGCTCAAGACTCAAGAGCAGATCCGATCGCAATCATCCGAGATCATGGCCGCAACCGCCCAACACAAGCGACGCTTCAGCGCCAGCAACATGCAGCCGAACGCAAGGAAGCGCTTGGTGTCCGTGCGTCCAGGAGAAACCGCTGACCTGCAAGTGAGCGTGATGCCCTGGGGTTCCGCTTTCGGCGTGATCAGTGGCAAAGACAAATCTTCGCGCCTCTGGCAGCTGCAGCTGCGTCAAGGTGGACCCAAAGCCGTGACCTACCAGATCCTGGCCGCCGCACGCCGGGCGCTGCAGAACTACCCCGCCGACGGGGTCACGGACACGAGGACCCTGGAAGAGCAGCAGGGCATCAAGCTGCTGAACGGAGCCCCGCCGCAGGGGGGCCCCGCGGATCCTGACGGAGTCCGCTTGGAAGCGTGGTTGTCGACCGTCTACTGCACCGGCGAGTCTCCGCAAGACGGACTGGACTTCGTCAAGTTTCTGCTGAAGCACCGCTACGACAACGGAGAGATCGCCGCCATGCCAACCTGCGTCTTGGCGACCCGCCACCCCACCTGGCCCTTCGGAGACCAGCCGCAAGGCTGGAGCTACCAGCAGCTCTGCGCCGACGAACATCGACCTTTCAGTGCCCTGCCTCCTCGCGGCAAACGACACGTCATGATGCAGGTGGAGATGGCCTCGAAGCAAGAGGACGAGTACATCCTGTGTTTCTGGGGCAACATCTACCCCTACCGCGAAGCCTTCGACGCCAAGTCGCTCGAAGGAGGCAGAGTCGACATGGAAACAGGAAGCGAGTACGTCCGCAGCCTGAAAATCACAAACTCGGACGAAGACAAGGAACGCGTCGCCGACATATTGGAGAACGTCCTCCTGTCGCTCCCGGTGTATTTGATCAACGCCACGGGCACCTCTGCGGACGAGCTCGTGCATTGGCTTTGCGAGCAGGATTCCGTGTACCTCGGCGAGGCGTCATGAGGGGGCGCAAGGCTAAGGAAAACTCGCACAGGCAAGGCGAAAAGCGTCAGCTTCTGCTGCCAGCTTTTCACAGGACCACGCAGCACAAGAAAAAGGCTCCCTGACGAGTTGATGCTGATACTGCCGGGCAGGTTTGCTGAAATCGAAACATCCAGCAATACTTACGCCTGCAGCAAGAGGCAACAGCCACCGACTGCAAGGCTCAAGACTCAAGAGCAAATTACACCAAGTATATCCGATCGCAAGTATCCGAGATCATGGCCGTAACCGCCCAACACAAGCGACGCTTCAGCGCCAGCAACATCAAGCCGAACACCAGGAAGCGGTTGGCCACCGCCGACGGAGACGAAATCACTGACCTGCAAGTGAGCGTGACGCCTTGGGGTTCCGAATTCGGCGTGATCAGTGACAAAGACAAATCCTCGCGCCTCTGGCAGCTGCAGCTGCGTCAAGGAGGACCCAAAGCCGTGACCTACCAGATCCTGGCCGCCGCACGCCGGGCGCCGCTGCAGAACTACCCCGCCGACGGGGTCACGGACACGAGGACCCTGGAAGAGCAGCAGGGCATCAAGCTGCTGAACGGAGCCCCGCCGCAGGGTGGCCCCGCGGATCCTGACGGAGTCGGCTTGGAAGCGTGGTTGTCGACCGTCTACTGCACCGGCGAGTCTCCGCAAGACGGACTGGACTTTGTCAAGTTTCTGCTGAAGCACCGCTACGACAACGGAGAGATCGCCGCCATGCCAACCTGCGTCTTGGCGACCCGCCACCCCACCTGGCCCTTCGGAGACCAGCCGCAAGGCTGGAGCTACCAGCGCTCCGCGCCGACGAACATCGACCTTTCAGTGCCCTGCCTCCTCGCGGCAAACGACACGTCATGATGCAGGTGGAGATGTCCTCGGAGGAAGAGGACGAGTACATCCTGTGTTTCTGGGGCAACATCTACCCCTACCGCGAAGCCTTCGACGCCAAGTCGCTCGAAGGAGGCAGAGTCGACATGGAAACAGGAAGCGAGTACGTCCGCAGCCTGAAAATCACAAACTCGGACCAAGACAAGGAACGCGTCGCCGACATATTGGAGAACGTCCTCCTGTCGCTCCCGGTGTATTTGATCAACGCCACGGGCACCTCTGCAGACGAGCTCGTGCATTGGCTTTGCGAGCAGGATTCCGTGTACCTCGGCGAGGCGTCATGAGGGGGCGCAAGGCTAAGGAAAACTCGCACAGGCAAGGCGAAAAGCGTCAGCTTCTGCTGCCAGCTTTTCACAGGACCGCGCAGCACAAGAAAAAGGCTCCCTGACGAGTTGATGCTGATACTGCCGGGCGGGTTTGCTGAAATCGAAACATCCAGCAATACTTACGCCTGCAGCAAGAGGCAACAGCCACCGACTGCAAGGCTCAAGACTCAAGAGCAAGTTACACCAAGTATATCCGATCGCAGTTATCCGAGACCATGGCCGCAACCTCCCAAAACAAGCGACGCTTCAGCGCCAGCAACATCAAGCCGAACACCAGACAGCGGTTGGCCACCGCCGACGGAGACGAAATCACTGACCTGCAAGTGAGCGTGACGCCTTGGGGTTCCGCTTTCGGCATGCTCAGTGACAAAGACAAATCTTCGCGCCTCTGGCAGCTGCAGCTGCGTCAAGGTGGACCCAAAGCCGTGACCTACCAGATCCTGGCCGCCGCACGCCGGGCGCTGCAGAACTACGCCGACGGGGTCACGGACACGAGGACCCTGGAAGAGCAGCAGGGCATCAAGCTGCTGAACGGAGCCCCGCCGCAGGGGGGCCCCGCGGATCCTGACGGAGTCGGCTTGGAAGCCTGGTTGTCGACCGTCTACTGCACCGGCGAGTCTCCGCAAGACGGACTTGACTTCGTCAAGTTTCTGCTGAAGCACCGCTACGACAACGGAGAGATCGCCGCCATGCCAACCTGCGTCTTGGCGACCCGCCACCCCACCTGGCCCTTCGGAGACCAGCCGCAAGGCTGGAGCTACCAGCAGCTCCGCGCCGACCAGCATCGACCTTTCAGTGCCCTGCCTCCTCGCGGCAAACGACACGTCATGATGCAGGTGGAGATGGCCTCGGAGGAAGAAGACGAGTACATCCTGTGTTTCTGGGGCAACATCTACCCCTACCGCGAAGCCTTCGACGCCAAGTCGCTCGAAGGAGGCAGAGTCGACATGGAAGCAGGAAGCGAGTACGTCCGCAGCCTGAAAATCACAAACTCGGACGAAGACAAGGAACGCGTCGCCGACATATTGGAGAACGTCCTCCTGTCGCTCCCGGTGTATTTGATCAACGCCACGGGCACCTCTGCGGACGAGCTCCTGCATTGGCTTTGCGAGCAGGATTCCGTGTACCTCGGCGAGGCATCGTGAGGGGGCGCAAGGCTAAGGAATACTCGCACAGGTAAGGCAAGTAACGCTAGTTGAATCCACGCGCCGGATCATCCAGCACAGCGACGATGCGCGGCAATAAAAACAAGCGTGAGAGACCATGAGGTGCACAATGCAAAAACGGAACAACACGTGGCACAAGCTGGAAAGCTTTCCCACACATTCGAGCCAGGCATCCTCACGAGGTGTTGATGCAGAACAAGAAACCTGGAGCCATGCCGCAGCGCAGCAGGCTCAAGCCACGGCCACTGCGACAGTGAAACTCATCAACACACTCTCATGCCGGGCCTTATTGACTACTCTAAGTGGGAGCTCCTCTCCAGCGACAGCAGCAACGAGACAGAAAGCAGCCAACCGCGTAACTATGCCACGTCTCCCCGCCAGGCCATTCGAGAGAGCATGTGGGCGTCGGCGGACGCACCCCTACCGACCGACCCGACGCTCCGTGCCGAAATTCTTCGCGATCAAAGAGAGTTGGCGGCGTTCATCAAGCGGAATCGCTGCCCCTCGGCAAAATCGCTGAACAAGTGGCTGCGACGGGAAACGAAAGCCAAAGCCACGTCAAGAGCGGCATCTCCCACTTTCGCGACGGTCGCGGCGCACAAAGGATGGACACGCGACACAGTGCGCCGCTGGTTCCATTACCCCTCCTTCCGAGCCCTATGGGAGTCGGCCGGATCTGAACAGGAAGATGCTTTTCACATGCAACGCAGCACCGGTATCGACTTGTACGAACGCGGTGGACGGGAGTGCATGCGATTTCATTATTATGCCCTGAACCATGCGATGTGCGGCGAGAATTTCGTGGACAACAAGCAGAAACCTTTGTCGGCCTTCGGCTTCGTAAACCACGTGGACAAGGTCTGGGACGGCATCGGATCTTGGCGCGGCTGACTGAGCCATACGGAAGGGCATCTGCTTTGTGACGGGACGGAAGAGCGGCTGCGGACACGGCGCGGCTTGTGCCTGAAGCCCGTCCAAATGCATCGTCACCCAGGGTCACACCACATAAAGCCACATCCTGTAGAAACAAGTCCAGGAGCCAAAGCCCGCTTCCGCCGCGGAAAGAATCACACGAGACGAGGCTTCAGACGGTTCAAACATGTTTCGAGCGTGCAGCGCTTCAACAGGCAACGCTGCAAGACGAAGTGTTTAGAGCCCGGCTACACACAACGTCGCAGTGCTTCACTGGGAAAAGCGATCTCCAGAGACAAAGCCGACGAAGACAAGAATCGCCAAGTCTTCAAATCACGCAGCGACTGTCAGCCGCAGCCGTTTATTGAGTAGAAAAGCGAGATCCCCCCTCCACCCGCACTCGCGACGCAATTGGAAACCAGCGACGTGCAGCCGAATGACGAGTTCGACAAGAAGGCCAGCACGAGCGCTTTTCGCAACCGGCAGCAAAGATTCCGACCTTGTTGTGCAGCTGGACAAGGCGCGCTTCCATCGGTGCAAGAGGTTCGCACGTTTGTCGAACCGCATTCCATTCGTTGCTGCGCCAGGAGAAAGAAAAGCAAACGGATCTTACGGCGCAGATCCACGAAGCAAGTCCCGAAAAGGACCCACCGGATCCACTTCCAAAGACGCAAAAGAAACCGGACGAGAAGACCGTGGAGCCAGAGGTCTTGCCCACACCGCTGGAGGCCCGAAGTCAGCCCGATTCCGAGAACAGGCTTCATTCGCCGAAGATCGGAGACCGCATCATGGTGCTGAAAGAAGCATGGCTGGCACTCGTACTTCAGAAAATCAAGACCATGGAGGTCCGAGGTGCGCCAGCAGAGCCAGGTCCTATTTGGCTAGCTTGCGCCGGGTCGATCTATGGATCCGCCAAGATCACGTCCTGCACCCCACTATCTGCGGAAGAATTCCAAACCGCCCGGCATCAACACCGTCACTTGGGAGATGAGCTGCCGTTCGCCAATACGTTTGGACTCTGCTTGGACGACATCCAACAACTGCCGAACCCCATGAAGCACTACCGGCCGCCGACACAAGCGCCTTGGGCAACTTTCAAATCCGGTCCAGCCGACAAGCTTCCCCGCGGCAGAGTCCGGAAGCGCAAGTCAATAGATGAGGGCCGTTCCACCCCCCCGAGATTTGCCCAACAAGACCTCCCACCCGAAGAATGAACCAAATTCCGGTGCAAGACAGCGCCGAAAGCAAAAGGACCCTGCGACACCCCCGACTCGCGCCACACACTGGAGAAAACAGTACATGCACATGCCAATTGGAATTCGAAGTTCCGGCAGGCAGCAGAGGCAAAAACGGTGTCTTGTTCCCTGTCTGCTGCAGCCATCGGAGCTCAAGCTTCCTAGAAGTTACAAGGTCCCGCGCGCCACTTCGGAAATTGGCCGGGCGCCTTACAAGGTCCCGCGCGCCACTTCGGAAATTGGCCGGGCGCCAAATTGTCATCGAGCCTGTGTTGGAGACAACAAGCCCACAATGCCGCCGAGGACACAATGCCAGCAAAATCATCGAGAGCATCGGGTTCACGAGCTGACAATGCATCCGCATTCAAGACGTTGAAGAACCCGGTGACATGGCACATGAAAGAGCTGAACGACGGCACGCCGGTACCGAAGGTCTGGTCCCAGCTACGCTGGGGCTCCTGGACCGACGATGCACAAGCCAAGTGGGAAGGATTCGTGGGATTCGTGGCCGAGACAAAGCGCGACGCACAGTTGTCCAGCGTGCGAATCCCAAATCTACGCCGCAGCCTCGCCGCAGCAATCAAAGCGTATCTGGTGTCATTGCTCCGCTTCGGCACCACGTTAGCGCCAACAACCGTGGTAAAAGTCGAACTGCAGGGCGAGAAAATCACCGTGACGGTCTCTCAAGGATGTTTCGAAGCGAAGAAAGGCCCGATGAAACGCAGGAAACATGCAATCAAGTCCGAGAAGTGAGAACGAATCCACAGTGACCTCACGACCACCGCCGCTCCTGGGCTGCGTGGTTTAACCGTCCGTGCATCAAAGCACTTTCTCGCAAGTGGACCTGCCAACCAAGGCTTTGTTGACAAGCAACAGATGCTCTCAATCGGAGAGAACCCAGAGCAGCTCCCTCTCCGATACAGAAAAAACGACACTCCGCGTATCTGCCAGTTGCCGTCTTTGCCAGAGTGCCTCTCTCTCCCTCCCTCCCTCCCTCCCTCTCTCCCTCTCTCCCTCTCTCCCTTTCTCCCTCTCTCCCTCCCTCCCTCCCTCCCTCTCTCCCTCTCTCCCTCTCTCCCTCTCTCCCTCTCTCCCTCTCTCCCTCCCTCTCTCGCTCTCTCTCTCTCTCTCTCTCTCTCGCTCCCTCTCTCCCTCGCTCTCTCCCGCACGAGCTCCAACCGCTGGCCCGGCTCAAGCAACCCGCGAAGATTGAAACAATCGCACCCAGCATGCACAGAGGCACCTTCAGACCACCTGCGAATCAGCCAAACCAATGCGGCATTCCGCGCTGCAGGTGAAGCAAGACTCAGCTGGGCAGACATCGCGGACAGCAGCGACGAAGAAGAGGACGGAGAAACCGAGCAGCTCACGCACTGCACAGACGGAGACGCAAGAACAGAAACCGTCCGCCCTTGAAGGACCAATCTCACCCGGCTGGTCCTGCGATCTGGAGGCACGGGCACCAATCTTGCAGCCTGTCTCGGAACTGTTCCATGTCCTTGCACCAGTGTCCGCGACGGCCGGCCATCGACGGAGGAACACGAACCACAGGTACGGCGTGCAACGCTGGAACTTTCAGTAAAGTTACGGTCGTGCTGGCATATCCTCGAAATGGACGTTATACACTGACAAAACCACGCTGAAGGACGACAAAGCGCCAGCGGCAACCGCAGCTCTCGCTCAAGAGCACCACGTGGGCCACGCGGCTCCAAGAGGCCTTCCCGAAGTCTATAACTAGTGTTACGGCGTGCGAGCACCAGCCGGACACTGCCAGGAAACGAAGAAAGCCAAGGACCCCTCTCCACGAGACCATCGACAAGCAAACAGGCGCCAGACCTGACCCTGGTTACACTGCCCATGATAGCATCTCGAAGCGCAGGAGCCATGCCGAACCGGAGAGCCAGAAAACGCGACTGCCAGACTGCTCACAGAGATCGCAGCCTTTCTTGGCACATGCTTCAATTTTCAAGTCCAGGAAAGGCTTCAACACAAAGTTCTGCTCGAACTCCTGCATTGCTGGCAGAAAAGCTTGCGACCAAGATGCCATCGTTTGAACATTCCATCGTCCCCCATGCACGATTACATATTCAGCATCAACCTAGCCCTGCACTTGGAAGTAATGAACTTCGTTCATTCCGTCCTTCGCAGCTTGTACAAAGGCAGAGTTCCCACGAACACAGCAAGCCGACAGCAAAGGCGGCTTCGACGCAAGTGCAAGTCATTTCCGTTTTGGGTTCCAGCATGGGGAGTTCTCGTTTACAACCTGCACCTGCGATAAAGCTGCGGTGGATCAGAAGGCATCCTGGGCCAAAGAATGTTTCACCACCGTGCAAAACCGAAAAAAGGGGGTCGTGCCGAGGCTGCGCAGCTTGTCGAACATGAAACGCTCCGTGCACTGACAGAACGGATCAACAGAATCGCCAAACCAAATCACCAAGATCCGGAACGATTGAAATGATGGCCAGCGCAAACTCGAAGGCCGGGCCGTGTATGGCCACCACTGGCGGAGGCGAAGAGATTAGAACAACTGCACCAGACTATGACCGAAGCAGAGACTGGCGACAGCACGCAAACAAGCGAGTAGCCGCGAGACGAGAAAAAGCATGCAGCGTGGCAGCCACCTTGCCACTAGCCGCTGCGCAAAGACAAAGCCAATCGCCGCAATGTCCCTTTCGCCGATCCTTACGTGCCGTAGAACATTCAATCGCAAGCATCGCGCTGTAGCACTGTAGCAGCTGTAGCAGTGCGGGCAGCCGCGCCATGGCTACGCAGAGCTGCTACCGCACCGACACCGCGCAGACGAATGCCGGACAGCGTCTCGCCCGACAGAATGCCAAGTCGGCCGGCAGCACCGACAGCCGGGACACCAGCAAGACCACGCCCAACAAGCCGAAACTACCGGCTGTCATGTGGAGCTTGATCTTAGACTTCGCAGGGACCAAGCACCGGCTCATCATCAGACACAACGACAAAGATGATCCCGAAGCATTGCTTCAAACGCAACTCTTGACGCGAGCGCTGCAAGAAGCTGGCCTCATACATCGTTGGAGAGTTACGATGCAATGTCAGCTCCGTCGATGCATCCATTGGTTCCAGCTGGAAAGCAGAAGATGGAGTCTGTCATGCACCAACTCGTTGCTAGCCACTCAGAAAGCCATAGGCAACCAGCTTCGTGAGATGACATTGCCCAACGAGAGTAACGCCTTTCCGAACTGGCACGACAAGCAGATCAAGCCCATTCGATCAGAATACCTAGAAATGGAAGCAGAGTTCCAAATCGTGTTGACCGGAGCAGATTTCCACCGCCTGACGTGGAGATGGATCGTCCAGAGGGCCATTCCAAGCGTTACCCCTTCTCTCGGAATAATCTTTTCGCCAACACCACGTCTTTGCCTTCGATCACGCGAAAATGCCATTCCGAGACATAGACTATGAGTTCCACAAACAGCAGTCCAATGGGCGAAAGGAAACACAAGAAAAAAGCAGCAGATCACGTGAGGGTTGGTGGGAGGGTTGCGGCAATAGCAGCACCTTTCATGCAACGACGGTGGACCGTGCAGCGCATAGATGAACGTGCATTCAACTACTGCAGCAAGCCGCGCATGGCTCAACATATGAGGCCTGAAGTCACCCGTCATCCGGCAGCGACAAGCAACGGCCATGGCTTCCCCCAAGGCAAAGCGCTTGAAGAACGACGGCGACCACGAAAGAAAGAAGCACATCACCCCAAGCTCTTCAGACAGGATCACCCTGGAAAACCAGGGTTTGGGCAAACGCCTGCCGCCAAAATTGCTCCGGCTCGACACGAGAGCAACGGAATTTCCGCTTCGACCTGCAGAACTTCCGGCATACCTTCCGGAAGAGTTCATTGCGGATCGATTGCGAGAAGTGAATGGCCATGCTCGGGATCGAGATCTCTCCTTTTGCGCCAAGGAGCACGTTTACTTTTGGAAAGGGCACAGAATCGAAACGTCCGTGACCCAAATGGTTCATTCGTTCACAGAGCCCTTCTGCGAAAATCGAGTGATCCAAGCCATGATGCAAGGATCGCGCTGGCCTCGCCCGGGCTACTTGAAACCCTTGTCAACCAACGAGCTCTCCAAGATCCTGCAACACGCCCCCGGCACCGAACCCATCCGAACAGAGCTGGCGAGCGAGAACCTGCAAGACGAAGCCGATGTGTGCGGGCTACTACAAGCGCTGAGGCAAGATTCAACCGACCGGAATCAAAAGCAACGGCAGGTCCTGGAGGACACGTTGCGGACCGTGTGTATGTCGGAGTCCGAAATCTGCAGCAAATGGGAGACAGCAAGAAACACTGGCGCACGGGAAGGAACTTGGATGCACGCTCAGTTCGAATGCTTGCTAAACGGAGGTTCGGTGCCCTCCCAAACACCCGAAATCGCGCTCTTTCTGCGATTCCTACGCCGCCACCCGGATATGGTCGCATACCGGACGGAATGGCGAGTCTGCGCAGACAGAGAAGACATTGCTGGCAGCATCGACTTCGTCGCAGAGCTCCAGGACGGAAGCAAGATGTTGGTAGATTGGAAGCGCACACGCAGCATGAGCAAGAAGAGTGAAGCCTTCGGCAAATTCCTACGTCCACCCTTGAATTCCGTGCCCGACTGCGCCCTGTGGCATTACCGCTTGCAGCTCAATGTTTACCGCTACATCGTCCAAGAGTACTACGGCCAAGTCGTGTCTTTCATGTACATAGTAGGCACGCACCCTGACAACGGCGACGAGCCCTGGGTCGAGAACGTACCGGTTCTGCACCACGAAACCCAAGCAATGCTCCTTGCCTGCGCCGCCAAAAAGAAAAAGCCGCCGCCTGTTGAAGATTCAGCATCGCAAAAACGCAGTCCTACAGCATGCCGCGTCGAGCTCGGACCACAGAAGCCAGAGCCGTATTGGAACAAGCGATCAGGCACGCCCGCAAAAAAGACAGTCGAAGCAACCGAGGCATGCCATGGCAAAATCGCTGCAACACGATCGTGCCGCTGCTGCCTCCCTATCTCGAAAAGGCAGACCTGATACCGCTCCTCCAGATGGATTCGAGAACGAGGGACGGAAGCGCCAAGATCGTTCCCCGCATACGGCGCATCATCCACGAGCTGCGCTTCGCACTGCGACCCCTGGTGGACGGTCGACTGCGCCTTCCCGGCTTGGCCAACCCATACAAACTTCGCGTTCGAGCATCGCGGCCACACGAAAACTTTTGGAAGGACATGGATAGCCATCCCCAAGCTTCCACGATGGGGACGCAAGAAGCCGCCAGAAACTGGTTGGAACAGGCCGGACTCGGCAGCTTGAATCCCGCCGAAGCCGTGCTGGTGATCAACGCCTGGCCGAAAGCAACTCGAGCGGCGGGAATGCTGGTCAGCGACTTCTTGACGGCTTCGCGAGCCCGGTTCTATTACATGCCGTCCGCAGAGATCAACGACGGAGCCCGCCTCATTATCATCTTCCGGATAGAAGGATTCGAAGGATCCATCGAGACGAGCAACCCGCCGAGATCCAATTATGTGATCGGGAGCGCTTGCAACTGCGAGATAACAGATAGCAGAGTCGCTGCGAGAGCCGAGGCGAACTTCCAGCGCGCGCCCGCCGGCCCGCATAGCACAGGACGCAGCGCAGAAGCAAAATAGCGATCCGCAGATGCCTCCTACTTGAAGGGGCGGGGGTGTTAGTAATTGTATATGCAGGTTGTTAATTGTTTGGCACAGTTAGCAAATGACTTATATGAGATGTGTAAGTGTAGTTATTGAACTTAGCTATGTTGAAGTTAACTTGGTTAGCTAAGTGTATTTATATGAAAAAGATAAGTGAGCTAAGTGATCTATGTTGCATGAAGCATGCTGCTCAGAGACGCAATGCAGGGCTTTAAAGCTCGCATGCAGTTCTCTTTTTTACACCTGCGGGACTGCGACAATGGCAGCATTGCCCGAAATGCTGTAAGGGCATGTGGCCCGGATCAGTCGGGTTTGCACGAGGCCACAATCGTCGGAGACTTCATACATACAGCCATGGACATGTGTCCAGAAGGTAATGTGCGACCATACAACTTTCTCGCACATTACATGATAAGCCACTTTGCCTACGGCAGTGACCCCATCCAGATCCATCAAGGCCAAGTCGCCGACAGCCACGGTGAAGTTTCCTCCATGCACTGCCTGCCTGGCTGTGAAGACTTCACCCTGGACCCGGATCGTGTTGTGTATCTCTGTTTGCAATCTGGCAGGAGCTGGTCTCACAGGGTCGACCAAGCGAACTCCTTGGCCTGGGAGGTATACACCCTCTGCCAGACTTTCCATGTGACCATGGAGTACATCTTGTAGGATGCTCCTCTCAAAGGTTCTGCTTGTATCCAAAATTTCATTCGAAATTTTTTTGATGATTTTATGTTTTCTTTCGTGCACAAAGCAGCTGAGGAGGACCTGATGCTTGGCCAGTTGCAGCGCCAAATGGCCTGCCAAGTGACACTTTGGCACCCACCACTCATCTCCATACCGACTTTTCGCCAGATCGAGATGCCTTTTGATGAGCTGCTGCAACTGCAGGGGGGTAAATGCTGAAGGTTTGGCATTGATCGCTTGCAAAGCATCAATCACCTTGCACAAAGCCAACCAAACCTCGCAAGAGTCCCGGATATCTCTGCTGCAATTTGGCAGCACAAAGACTAGCACATAGAGTCGCAGCAGCTGCATAAAGTTCAGAGCCTCGCTGGCTCCACACTTCAAGGTTTCGCTTGGCTTTCGCTTCTGCAAGATATCCTTTGCAGCAGCACCTCGCAAACGAGAAGGCCAGGTAAAACCATTTGCGAAGCGATCAATGTCATTGTGCTTCCAGCCATGGTTGTGAAGCTCTCCAAGAAAAAACCCTGTCAGAACATTGAAGATGCCATTGACTAAATAGACATGGAAGTAATCGAACATCACACACTCGATGACCGGAGGCCCGTATGCTGCATGTGCCAGCAATCCATCCTCTTTGAAATTGAACCCCATTGCTGTTTGGAGTTGCAGGAATCTGTCTTTGTTGAGGACCCTCTCTTGCCTTCGCAAGAAGTCCATGGTGTCTCGTATAGACTCGGGTGTGTGCATCCGAAAGCAACTCATGTCGGTTTCCAGGCCGGACACCATATTGCCCCGACTCCTTTCAGCAATGCTGCTTTTGTGGTCCACGGCGTTTTGGCATTGAACACAGAATATGAGCCCACTGGCTCCTTTATTGAAAAGGGTAGCCTTAATTGCAGCTTCGTCGGATATGATGATCTTCAAGTCGGCAAAGAGCATACGTGCTTGTCCAGGGCACTGCAACACAAGACCTTTTCTGAAGTCAGGTCTCTCAAAGAACAAGGCTGCTAGCTGCCTGAAGAGCACAGTCATGCCGCCGAGATCTGCGACCAGAGAGCTGCGAATGGCACAGAGAGTGAACCAGCAATTTTCGCAACCCATTGCATGCTGTCCCAAAGGGAGCAGGCTCCAATATACGGCCTGGACCTTTCTCCGGTTGGAGTGCTTGAGTTGGTTGCCCGGAGCCAGCTCGTCGGAATACCACACCAATCCCCATGGTTGAAGAATGCTGGGGGGTGTGGCATCCATGGCCCTCTCCAGGAACTCGCCAAATGGTCGACATCGCTCTGTCGCCCAGGCAAGCATTGCAGCTGGGTTCAAGACAGGAAATTCAAACTCCACACCAGTTTCGGCAACACACTTGAAGTCGCATAGGATCTCGCCATAAGCAGTTTGGTAGCTCCGAGTCTTCTCATCCCGGGCCCGCTTCAGTGTTCGGCGACTCGTCCCAGATGGCAACTCGGGCAGCTCTTTGAGTTCCTGCAAGACCTGACTGAGACCTCGCTGGGATACATATGATTTCCTTCCCAAGCAGGAGAGCGAGGAGCTCCCGGCGGAAGCCATGGGGTCTGCTGGCGAGCTCTTGGCCCTGCCGAGCGACCCACTACTTTGACTGCAGATTCATACATATATATATATATGTATATCTGTATAAAAGGTATACTATATATAGGAAAAGTGGATGGGAGCATGCAGGCACTGTGTACGTACCTTATATATCTATATATATATATATACAGAGATATGTTTTGTTTACATGTATATATGCATGCTCTTTGTTCCTGCAGGTTTCCAAGCATATTGCTGCAACGGTGCAACCCCACTGCGAGCAGTCCGGGAAACTCCAGTGCAAGGCCAAGACAACCTTTAACCATAAACCCGAAACTAAATATTTGATATATATATATATGTATACACAGAAACCCGAAAGCTATAGATATATAGCATCCGAGTATTGATTTGTACACATATATATACATGTATATACAGTTATATATATAGTATATACCACACCAAACCTAACCTAACACCAAACGTGATCCTGAGACACATCTTAATAAATCGCAAAGCCATATATAATATATACATGTACAACTCGAAAGCTTCAACATAGCTCTCGAAGAAGGGTCCACATTCGCACCCTCCTAAAAGGACACCCCTGTATAATATATGTGTGTATATATATATATATCAATATATATTCAACCCATATATATATATAAAGTATATATAGGCTCCTATATATATATATATACATCCCATATGTAAAGTATATCTATGTATATATATATGTATATAACACATATATAATATGCCACGAAACAAAAACCCGGATCGTGCAGGCATCCTGCACCACCGCTTTTGACACCTGCCAGGATCGCTTCGGTCTTTCCCTCCGTGGCAAGCGATGCTCCCAACATTATACCTCCCGAGGTACAATGGCTTTAATGTACACACAGCCTTTGTGAAAGATGAATAATAAGGTGCATGCTTCCTGGAGGCTCGCGAACAAAACTTTGCTGATGCTGGAAGACACCAAAACACGTCAACATGCATATAGACTTAAGATGTATACACTCTGCCTGTAGCCTCCAAACTCTCACCCTATATAGGACTCCAGCTGTGCATGCTTTCAGCAGCTGTTGATGCAATCACGGGCCAAAGCACGACGGTGTGCAGCCGGGCCTGTTCCGGCACTTGCCACACCCATTGGGTCGCAGCTTGATGCGAGCCGACAAAGTCATGCATCGGACCTCTTCTCGAGTGAACTTCTTCAAAGCCTTCTGGACCTTCTTCGGCTGCGACTTCGCCTTCGCCTTGCAAGCAGCCTTGGCCTTCGCCTTGGGCTGCGACTTTGCTTTGGGCTGGGACTTCATGGCCGTGCACTTGGCCTTCGCCTTAGCCTTGGCCTTGGCTTTACCCTTGGCCTTGGCTGCAGCCTTGGGCTTCTTATTTGCCTTGTGCTTCGCCTCGTTTTCCTTGGCCTCGGCCTCGACGGTGCTGTCGAACCCTTTGTTGTCGCCCTTCCAAGCTTGAAGCATTTCATCTGCATGTTGTGCAGCACTGACAGGATCCTTGCTGGCCAGCACTCCCTGTTGCTCGGCCTGCTTTGTTCCGCTGCCCTGTGCCGGTTCATTGGTAACTGTAGGAAGCTGCAAGGCCTGCTGTTGAGCAGGCGAGGAGGCCATCGTCCCAGACGAGGCGGCAGCAGCTGGGTCGCCGAAGATTTTCAACCCAGGCAATCCATCGTTCTTCTTCGCCAATTGCTGCTGCTGGTTGAACATGTTAGCTGCCATGCTGCCCCAGAACTGCATCATACCCTGCATGGTGTGGGGCATGTGCATTGCCGGGCCTGCTGCTGGACCACCCAGCACCATGGCAGTGTTGCTCTTGTGGAAAGAGAGGCTTTTGTTACTGCCACGAAGAGCATCACGGGCCAGCACCATTGTTCCAGGCAGCTCACCTCCCAAGGCATCTGCGAAGCGATCTCGGGTGTGTGGTGGAAGATCCTCAGGCCGAGTGTACTTGGCGACGAACTCGCCACAGGAAGCATCTTTGAGCATGGTCTTCACCTTCTTCTTGAGGCACACGACAGCCGAATGGAACTCGTCGGGGCTCTGCAAGCCAGTATTGTTGCAACTCTGCAGGGTCTTGATGATGTGTCCCACAGACTGTTCTGATGGCCAGAACATCTCCAGTCGAGCCATTATCTGAGCAGTGTGAGTCAGCCTCATGACGAGGGTGTCGTCGCTGGACAAAACTCTCCGGTCCTCGGCGCCCAAGAAACCCCAGAAGTTGAGAATTTCCTGGTTCTTCTTCTTGGCCTTGGCATTTGCTGGAGTGCTGCCTGCCAAGGTCTGGGAGACGGCTGCACCCAGGGCCTGCTTCTGCTCGTGTGACCAAAGGCCCTGCTGCACCAAGCTGCAGATCTCTGCACCCTCCTCGACTGTGATGTGGCTTTGACGAATCGTTCTGATGGCGACCTCGCTCTGAGCAGCCAAGAGAGAAGTCCATTGATCTCCCATGATGGGCTGCTGGGTCTGGAGGAGCTGGTTCAGCTGTCGAAGGAAAGCAGCTGCCATTGCACGGCCGGATATAGCACAGATGCTCTGCACAAAGCGAGCTGCTGTAGCCCTGCTTGCGAACACCTGTCTATATAGAGCAGCAGCGGGCAGCAGGCAGATGATGGAGTGCATGTGCTTTGCAACACACAAGCATGCAGCCTGCCACTGGAGACGTCTTTCACATTGCATGCAGTCACAGACCGGAAGACTTCTTCACCAAAGGGGTCT